GACCAAGAACAGTCAATGGCACCATACAGTAGCCCCTGCCTATAATTACACCACTAGGGAGGCAGAGAATGCCCACAAGTTTGAGAATGGTCTGGTCTACGTAGTGAGTTCAAGGCCAGCCAGAGCTACACAGACAGAAACAGTCAGTCATGAACAGCTCATCTGGAGAGTGCAGCTAGGTGGTTCTGTGTCTTTCCGGCAGACGTGAGATCCAGGTTCCTTCCCCAGCACCACACAAACTACTTATTCAGACAGGCAAACAAATTCAGCCAGCATAAAGAAAACCGTTGACCTGTTTGCATTCTTACTGGATGAGGAGTCAGTGAGCACAATGCAATAAACCCTGACAGGAGTGTCAGCACACACTTTCATCCCTGCCCTGAACTGGAAGCCAAAAAGTTGTTAGTTCAAGGCCACTCTGGCCTACCCGGGGCGACCTGGTCTCAAAAATAAAAGAAAAAATTCTAAGAAAAGAGTAAAGATTCCAGGACAGGCTCCAAAGCCACAGGGAAACCCTGTCTCGAAAAACCAAAAAAAAAAAAAAAAAAAAAAAAAAAATTCTAAGAAAAGAGTAAAGAAAAATTCTAAGTCATCTGAGTAATGGTGCCAAAAAACCGATAAAAATTTCCTTCTTTGGGATTTCATAATCAGTTGAAAACTGTCAGCAAGAGTCTCGTTTAAGTCGCATTCAGCCCCACACCTTCACCAACTCACAGTAGGTCAGGTCAGGATTGCTACAAGCCCTGGAAACAGACTAATTGTTAATGCAGGCCTGATGCCAGCACTCGGCGCGATTGGTGGTTCTCTGAATTCGTCTTTATCAATCACTCCTGCTCCCACCTGACACTCATTCCTTTATTCTTCTGAAACAACTAATTTGAAGGCCCATGACAGGTGGCTTTCCACCATCATTACTCTTAAATTCCCTCCTTACTTTCTAGTGCCGAATTCTGGTTGTTGTTGTTTTTTTTTTTTTTTTTTTTTTTCACTACTTCTCAACTCCATTCCTTGTAAGTCACACGAGGACTGTCTTCGCAGGAACACACTGCCACAGTGCCCTTTGAACCTACCTGAGGCCTCATGGCAGCTGTACAAATGACTTCCGGGCACACTGCAGGGTCCCAGCCCAGAGCTCTGCTCTCTCTTAAGTTCCTCTACCACTCCAGGAGCCCGCCTGGCCCTCACAAGGGAACCTTTCTGGAGCAGTCACAGTCATCAAGGACAGAGGTAATTAGGGAACAGCACACCGCAGCTACACTGGGGACAGCTCCAGAGTCTCTGCAGCACTAAGCCCTCGGAGGCCTGTCCTTAGAGGCTGTTCTACTCACGTCTCACATCTTCTGACGTAGCACGCACACCCATATTGTTACTGAAGTTCTGAGTTCAACAGATACTGTGAAAGCCTCAAAGACGATGCAGATCCCAGGATGTACGCACTGAAATATCACACGGAACCCCACCACGGTGTATAGTCAATTCATGTTCATGTGAAGAAACCAGGGAGTCCAAGCTGCCAAGATCTAGTTTAACCTGAAGCTACCCAAGTTAATCTTCCAGTCTCTGTGACCACCCTAAGAACTCACTCTGTACAGGGCTGGGAGCAATATGGAATGTCTCCCTCGACTAAACGTCCAAGAGACCTTTCCTGTTATTTATTTATGATGAAGCAAGGACGGAGAAAGGTTGCAGTGCACTGTAAGGACACTCATTAAGACGGGAGGCAAGCTGGCATAGAGACTCCTGCCTTTAACTCGGGAGGCAGAGACAGGCAGATCTCTGAATTTGAGGTCAGTATGGTCTACCCAGTAATTTTTTGATTTTGTCTTGGTTTATTGAGACAGGATTTCTTTGTGTTACAGCCCTGGCTTCCTGGAACTCTGTAGACCAGGATGCATTTGCCTCCCAAGTGCTAGGATTAATGGCATGTACCCCACCCCCTGGTTTACACAATGAGTTCTAGGATAGCCAGGGCTAAATAGTCTGGGGGGGGGGGGATATATACACCCTAGAATGGATGCAGGCTTTTCAAGTTCAAGGCTAGCCTGAGCTACACAACAAGTTTCTGCCTGGGCTACATAAGATTCCATCCAAATAACTAAAAAAGAAAAGAAGGAAGGAGGGAAGGAGGGAGGGAAAGAAGGGAGGGAGAGAGGGAGGGAGGGAGGGAGGAAGGGAGGGAGGGAAAAGTAAAAAGTTCAAGGGGCTGGAGATATGGTTCAGTGGTTAAGAGCACTGCCTGCTCTTCCAAAGGTCCTGAGTTCAATTCCCAGCAACTACATGGTGGCTCACAACCATCTGAAATGAGATCTGATGCCCTCTTCTGGCTGCAGGCAGACACACAGACAGAATACTGTATACATAATAAATAAATAAATATTTTATTAAAAAAAGTTCAAGGCTATAAAGTAAATAAATGCAAGATCAGCCTAGGCTCTTTCTTTAGTAAGACTAGTTTCAAAATAACAAACAAGCAGCCAGGAGAAACAAAGACGTGCAAGGCCCTGGGTTTAATCCCCGCAAAGACCACACTCAACTAAGATTTTAGAAAACCTGAGGCTTCCTTTTCATTTCCTAGCCGGTTCCAGGGAATAGAGTCCAGAGTCTTGCGCATGATGATGAAGAGACCTCTCACTGAGCTACAGCCCCCAGCCCCATTCCTTTAACTCGAGGAGCCTTGCCTCCACTAGACTCCAGTTATTGACCTACCTAATCTTACGAAGTCACACAAACGCAATATGTGATATAGCACTATTTCTTAAATATGAGTCGTTACATATACAGACTGCTCATAATTCATGTGCCCTATATGTATGATTTATTTGTATTATTTTCTGTGTTGGTGTGTTTGCTGGTATCCATGGAAGCCAGAAGATGGAGTTCAAGCTACCTGGCTAGGAATTTAAGTCAGGACTTCAGCAAGCACTCTTAACCACTGAGTCATCTCTCCAACCCCATGCATGTACCTTCATACAGAATTTTATCAAAATACTCCCAAAATCCCATGTAGAGTTTTAGCAGTTTTAAAACTACACTAATGGACTAGACCTGCAGCTAGGTGTCAGTGCCTGTGGCAGTGCATGCCTCCAGTCCTGATCGCTGGGGAGGCTGGGAGAGGGAAAACATGGAGGTCCCAGGCCAATCAGAGCATCAGGGTAAGGCACGTTATCTCCTTATTTCCTTATTTTTAAAACAATTCACATTTCCTCTCTTAAGAATATTGCAGCATTTTTCATTACTTTCTTGAAGCACACAGCCTTGCTGTGGCAGGGCAATTATGTACTGTAGTTCAAGTACTTGGCCGGTGTAAAAGAACCAATGGTTCAAGGTCACCTGCTACAGCACAAGTTCAAGGCTAGCCTGTGTCAGTCTCTCTCACGTGGTAAGTCACATCTCCGTCCATACATCCATCACATATACATTTATTTATTTATTTATTTATTTATTTATTTTCGGGGCAGAGGTTCTCTCTGTAACAGCCTTGGCTGTCCTGGAACTCCCTCTGGAGACTAGGACAGATTCACCTGCCTCTGCCTCCCAGGGGTGGGGATTAGAATGTGCCACCACAGCCGGCTCAATCTTTCTAATCTTAATCTTTATCTCAATTTTCATCACAGGCTGATTTGGCACTGTGACTTCAGAAGGAAACGCGGCTCCTGCCACAATCTTGAAGCTCCCTCTGACTTGGGGAAAGGTTATTGGCCTTCTCCAGAGGACTGGGGTAAGGGCAGTAAAACTCTGTAAGGGAAAGAAAGGTTCCTGAAAATCAGCAGGTCAGCTTTACTGCAATTATGTAAAAAGATTTGCTTATGCATGGCTTACAGAACTGAAAAAGAAAGCAACTGGAAGTTGGTTATTAATTAGATCAAAAATGACCTGTCATCATAAGTCCAGTGAGGTCAAATGTATTATTGTAAGATTTTTTTTTTGAAGTGTTTTTTTTTTCTCATCTTGCCAAAGCAAATGAAATAGCAAAACTGCAAGCATAGTGTAAGTTACTAAAGAGAAGTAACATTATCAAACAGTAAGAGTCTCGGGTTTCCCTCTATGTATATTAACAGTATGAATTCACTACTGCCATTTAGGCTCTTAAAATCATCAGACTGCCGTTGCCATCTCTCCAAATGAACAACTGTGCCCTCTCAAACGCAGACGGAAGGAGGAGAAGCGGTCCCATTCTTTCATTTGCTTGCCTTTGAAATAGGGGCTACTGTAGCCAAGGCTAATCTCGACGCCCTTTTCTTCCTTCCTATGACTCCCAAATGCTGGTATTTCTAGGCCTGAGCTATCTAGCCTGGCTCTCATTATCTTTGGTAACAGGGTTTTCTTAAAGTTAAAAAAAAAATCATCCAATCAGACAAAAAAATATTTAACTAGACTTGGTGGCAATACACTTGGAATCCCAGCAACTTGGAGGTTGGAGGCCAGACAGATCTGTATCGAAAATAAAAAAGGAAAAAGAAAGAATACTTTAGAATTCTACATTAATCACTAAGTCTCGAGACCATTGGTAAAATGTATCCTCAGTTCAGAATCTGCTCCAGCCAGGATGTCAGCCCCTGTCTCCATTTTGCAGGCCTAATACTGATTCCAGGAGAATGTAAACCGTAGCAATCTTTAGGTGGAGTGCAAAATCCCTAAGGCAATCAGACTCGTTACCTAACAGGTCAACATTACGAATTTTCCGACGAAGAGCATTCTGTATTTGAGAAACATTTAAGCACACACACGGTGGAAATGAGACCCGAACAAAAGCTGCGGACCGACAGACGCTAGGACTGGACTCGACCCAAACGCAGCGTCGGCCGAAGACACGGCACCGGGACGATGACACCTTGCTTTTCCCGTCGGTAGCAATGAATAACGGGGCGGCGCGCACGGGTCGCGTCCCCCGACCCCGGTCGCTGTCCAAGGAGCCGCCCGGCCGGGCCGCGCGCGGGTGCGAGCCACAGCCCAGGCGCGCCGCTTGCCCGCCCTCTCTCCCGCCCTCCCGCCGCGCTCACCTCCGCCGCCGCCCGCCGCCCGAGCGCTCCTCCTCGCAGCCCTGCGCGCTCGGCTCCGCAGGGCCGCAAAACGGTTCGCAGCGAGGCCCGCGGAATCCCGGCCGCAGCCCGACGCTTCCCTCGGCAGCCGCCGCTCCTTCCGGTGCCTCCGCGGCCGCAGCGGGCGTCTGGGGGCGGGGCCTAGCGGATGGCACGCCCCGGGGCGGAGCCTCGCATCTTGCCTGGCTTCTCCGTCAGGTCTGCGCTTGCCTGGGGCCTTGCTAGGGAACCGCAACTGACCTGTCTGCTACCTTCTATTTTCCGGTTTTGTTCGTAGTCTCCCACCCGCTGCAGTCACAAGACGACTTCCCAAGGTCTCGTCGCGGTGCGTTGCTGACTGCAGTACGGAAAACCACTGAAAGGTCTCAGGGTTGCAATCTGAGCTCCTATAAATTCTGCACTTTAATAGGCTGGGACAGGAGGATTACCATGACTTCCAGGCTAGCCTGTGCTACCGTGTGAGGCATTAACACTTGATATATATGAAATATTAGACCTAGCTCAATTCAACTCTAATCCCGACCCTTGTTTGTCTTCTTACTTCTTCAAGACCTACATTCTCTGGGAGCAATTGCGTTTCTCTTTTCCACATAGACAAAGAAGAAATTAATCTCTACCATTTTCCACTAGGTCAAACTCAAGATCAAATAAAATATTTATTGAAACCTTGGGATCTTCTGGTGCTGAGAGCACTGAGGGGGGGAAAAAGAAAAAAACTTCTAGTTGTGAGTCTGTTGCATTTCCCTGGGTTGATTTTAACAGATGTGAATAAAAACTGCAAAGTTTGTCAGCTAGGCGTGGTGGTGCACCCCTACAGACCCAGCACTTTGGGGGGGGGGGGGGGCAGGATTGTGAGTTCTGGGCCAGCCTGGATTACAGAGTGAGACCTGTTTATCTGATTACCTCCAACGGTTTGGTCTCTACGTGGGAGGACGTATCCAAATGTTATGCAAGGTGTACCGGCTCCATCAGAAGCAGGTTACTAACGCGGGGGCTTCCACTTATTCTTCTGGTGGAGGTGAAGGACATTAACCTTGAAACCACATTCTCTGTGGGGCCCGACACGGAGGAGACGGAAGCGTCCCACTCAGGAAGGTCTCAATGGGTGCTGCTATACTCTTATTTCAGCCGATTGCGAATATTGCTTCTTTGCTTTCATCAATATCCAAATTAATAATATTTTCAATTTTTCCTGAATGACTTTTCCCAGGGAGTCCATTCCTAGTCACCCAGAGAGAACAACCAGCAGACCAAATAAATGTTTCCATCCACATGCAACCTGGTGGACCAGTGAATTTAATTGGGGTTATTCAAGCATGGACCACTTAAAGGGCAGCTGCACCACCGAGTATTTCCTACGCCTCTAGCAATTGTTAACCACGTGTTTATCCTCAGAGATGGGGGGGGCTACATGAGCCTGGGAGCTCGCCCCTCCCTCCACGGGGAAATGCTAATGAATCCCATCTGGCGAGGGTGCTTTGCTGCTAACCACAGAGTCTCTGAAGAACTGTCCCAGAGGACAGAGTACCATACCATACCGTGCATGTTCGCTACATACAAGGATTTGGGGAGGGGCTTGTTTGCTTTGTTTTGGTGACGATTTTGAATTTTTATTTATTTATATGGTCATTTTGTCTAAATTAAGTCTGTGCATCATCTGCCTGTGTGGTGCCCCAGGAGGCCAGAAGGTGTCAGATTCCACCTGGGCTGGAGTTACAGATGGTTGTGAGTCGTTTTGTGAGTGCTAGGAATTGAACCCAATTCCTCTAGAAGGGCAGTCCGGGTCTGCAACTGCTGAACCATCTCTCCAGCCCTGGTATTTTATTTTCAAGACACGCCCGTTATATAGCCCTTGAACTCTTGGTTCTCCTGCCTCTCTGTCCTGATTCTTAGAGTCCGGGTGGGAGGGTTATTTGACTTGTGAAATTCAAGGGTCCGGTCTGTGGTACAGCAAAGCTGTGGTGGTGGTAGGAGTGTGATCTGGCTGTTTGTACAGCAGTAGACATCAGGAGACAGAGAAAAAGTACTTTAAATTTTTCTTTATTAATATTTTATATGTACACAGTGTGTGTTTCCCCATGTTGAACAGTTATAAACCCACTTTAACTCCAGCCATGAAAATTGTCAGCCTTTGACACGGAGAGTTTACACACAGACACACATACACACACACACAGGACCTGAATTAGCTTCCTAGCATCTGTAATTCCAATTCTAAGAGATTTGGTGACCTTTTCTGGCCTCCTTGGGTTTCTATATGCATGCAGTACACACAATTCAACACACATACACACACACACACACACACACACACATATGCCGTGGGATATTTGTACACTGTATGAAGATGTATTGCTGTGATTGGTGTAAAAAGGCTGACCATCCAATAGCTAGGCAGGAAGTATAGGTGGGACTTGTGGGCAGAGAGAGAGAAGAGAACTCTAGGGAGATAGGAAGAAGGCAGGGCACTAGCCAGCTGTGGAGGACGCAGCATGAACAGTACCAAGAGACAAAGCAATGAGCCACACAACAGAATATAGATGAAAACAAACGGGTTAATGTAAGTTATAAGAGCTAGTGGGACAAACCTAAGCTAAGGCCTAGCTTTCATAATAAATTAATAAGTCTCTTTGTCGTTATGTGGGAGCTGGCAGTATAGAAAAACACTTGCTACACACAAACACACACATACACCTTGTGGTTGTTTAAGATATTCCCCATAAGTCTCTGGTATTTGAAAAGTGGATGCCCGGTTGGTGGCTGTTTGAGGCGTAGGAGGTGTGGTCTTCCTGGAGTAGGCATGTCACTGGCGGCAGATTTAGAGGCTACCAAAGCCTTGTGTCCTTCCCATTGCACTGTTTCCCGTTTGCTGGTCAACATGTGAGCGTGAGTTACTGCTCCACTGGCACCTGTGTCCACCATCATGGACTATTATCCATCTCCCACCATTCCTAAATATTACCCCAGCAGCACAGACACCGAGAGAAACAGTTAATAAATGGGACCTCCTAAAACTGAAAAGCTTCTGTAAAGCAAAGGATACGGTCAACAAGACAAAACCACAGTCTACAGCATAGGAAAAGATTTTCACCAACCCCACATCAGACAGAGGTCTGATCTCCAAAATATACAAAGAACTCAAGGAATTGTCCATCAAAAGAACAAATAATCCAATTTTTAAAAATGGGGTACAGAGGGCTGGAGAGATGGCTCAGTGGTTAAGAGCATTGCCTGCTCTTCCAAAGGTCCTGAGTTCAATTCCCGGCAACCACATGGTGGCTCACAACCATCTGGAATGAGGTCTGGTACCCTCTTCTTGCCTGCAGACATATACACAGACAGAATATTGTATGCATGATAAATAAATAAATATTTTTAAAAAATGGGGTACAGACCTAAACAAAGAACTCTCAATAGAGGAATCTAAAATGACTGAAAGACACTTAAGGAAATGCTCAACATCCTTAGTCATCAGAGAAATACAAAACAAAACAACTGAGATTCCATCTTACACCTGTAAGAATAGCCAAGACCAAAAACACTGATGAAAACTTATGCTGGAGAGGTTGTGGGTAAAAGGGAACACTTCTGCATTGCTGGTGGGAATGCAAGCTGGTACAACCCCTTTGGATGCCAGTGTGGCAATTTCTCAGAAAATTAGGAAACAGCCTTCCTCAAGACCCAGCAAACCACTTTTGGGTGTGATGGGGACCCTCCTTCAGCCAATGACCTTTAAGAGGCTAGACCAGGTTAGGGCGTGACCTTTTGGGTACCTAGAGAAAACTGCAGGCTCACCCAGCTCTCGCTCTCTGGTTCCCACATCACGCACCTTGAGGTTGGACTTTTCATTTCTGTTCTGTGAGTTTCCCCCTTACAATAAAGAATTATAACTGGAATCTTTTGGAGTTACCTTGGGATTATTCAATTTGGTTCTTCATCCTCTTTTACACATTCAACTACATGGGTATATACCCAAAGGATGCTCAATTGTACCATAAGGACATGTGCTCAGCTATGTTCATAGCAGCATTGTTTGTCATAGCCAGAACCTGGTAACAATCTAAATGCTCCTTGACCGAAGAATGGATAAGGAAAATGTGGTACATTTACACAATGGAGTACTACCCAGCAGAAAAAAAATAGAATGACATCTTGAAATTTGTGGGCAAATGGATGGACCTAGAAAACATTTATTGAGTGAGGTAACCCAGACCCAGAAAGGCAAATATCATATGTACTCACTCATAAGTGGCTTTTAGACATAAATCAAAGAAAACCCAGCTTACAGTTCACAATCCCAGAGAACCTAGACAACAATGAGGACCCTAAAAGAGACATACATGGATCTAATCTACATGGGAAGTAGAAAAAGACAAGTTCTCCTGAGTAAATAGGGAGCATGGGGACCATGAGAGAGGGTAGAAGGGCAGAGGAGAGGAAGGGAGGGGAGCAGAAAAATATATATTAATAAAAATAATAAAAAGCCATGCAGACATGTACTTACATAAATAATATGTAGTTTTAAAAACCAATAAGAAGAGATGTGCCCCCAGCAAAATCTCATCTACAGAAATTCTTGCTTTGAATTGTTTCAGCATTTTAGCACATTCCATCAAGCTCCAGGTCACCCATCACCTTGCTCAGTAGCCAAGGCCCTCTTTGGGGTTACGTGTGTGTGTGTGTGTGGGGGGGGGGGGGTTCCGGAGTGCTGTCGGAACAGGCCAGCCACTCATCAGCTGTTTAGACAGGTGTGACTGCTGCTCTGAAGAGAGACAATTTATTTTATATGTTTGTATGTGTATGACCTGTGTGCAGGCGCCCACCGAAGCCGGAAGAGAGCATCCTATCCCCATGGAACTGGAGTTATGGACAGTTTCACAACTGCACAAGAGAGACAAGAGCTCCAGCAGCCCTAATGTTTGATTTTTAATCCTCAATCGAATTAATTCTTAACTTCATTGCTATTCTTAGGTTACCTAATTTGGTGGAGATTTTAAAAAATTATTTTTTTGCCTACAGGTTATCTCTGCGTAGCCCTGGCTGTCCTGGAACTCGCTTTGTAGAAGACCAGACCGGCCTCGAACCCAGAGATCCGCTTGCCCCTGCCTCCCAAGTG